GTGCCAACTCTGCTTCAATGGATAAAATTGATAATCCAGTTAAACGTTTGTTACTTATTGTTGTTCGAAAATGATTTTTTACAAGTTTTAGTTTAGAGAAACTTCTTTCAGCAGACGCTTCCTTTACTGGAATTGTAAGAATAATAATTAAGAATTATTCTTAAACTTATTGCGATATTAGGATAAATTTCCTGAAGTTGATGACTTGGAGATACTTGGAGAACTATTTGATTCTGCTAGTTGACAAAATAATTTAATTTCTACAAATAATTCAATGGCATTAATATCAGAAGTATCATGATACTTCTGTTATGTCTTCTTCATACTTCTGTCAAGCGTCAATCATTTGATGATAGTAATACCTCAAAATCTTTGCAATGCTTTAATATGGTTTCATGCTCCCAAGATTTTAAAATATTTATATCATACAAGAAATCAAAGTTAGACCAATGATTATTTAACTCGATAAACCTATCTTGTAATGAATTTATAGCAGTATATATTACAGTATTGAAGAAGTCTACTTCAATTTTTTTTTCTGTGTTATGAAGAGGATAGTCATCTTTATTTTCATAGTTGAAATTTGTTTTCTTGAATCGTTTACGCACTTGATGGTCTTAAGGGAATTCCTCCAATATTCCTATGACTGATGTAATTTCTTTGGCAGTTAATTTCACATTAAAATATCCATTCATTCGATATTCTTTTAAAAACTCAATTATTTCTGATATACTTTTAACAAAAATTTGTATATCAAATTGGATAGACTGTGGTTTTTTGCTTTCAGGGTTATCAATAATCAATATATCATACCAAATAATAATGGAACATATAAATTTAAAATCACATATATTTTTTAAAAGAGCGTATGCATCTGCTTTTGTTTGAAGACCATGCGTTCCAATTAAGTTTATATAATCTTTAATAATATTCAAAGCATTGAAAATTTGTTCAAATTGATATCGTATTGGCCATCGCATTAATCCTCGACTCTCAACGCGTGTCACAAACTTTCTTCAATGTTAATTTGAGTAAAAATTTAATCAGAATTTTCCATCCCTCAGTAGACGCCGAAAAAAACACATACAGTTATCGTACTATATTAAAAAATGAGACTGTGTAAATATTACATTTCGCTGCATCATTAACTACCAAATTTAACGAATGAGAATTACACGGTACATAAAATGCTCTAGGATTAATGTCAAGTATGCATTTTTGAACTCTGCTTTGTTTTCCTTTCATATTAGAACCATTATCATAGCTCTGATCACGCATATAATTTATATTTATCTTCAAATCTGAAAGCATTTTAATTATTTGGTCACTTAAACTAATCCCGGTTTTAACAAAAACTTCAATAAATCCGATAAAATGCTCATGTATAACTTCTTTTAAAATACAAACATATCATAATATTATCAACATTTGTTCCTTGTGACTACAGTCAGTAGTACAATCTAAAATAATGGAATAATACTTTGCATCTCTCACTCGACTCAAAATGTTATTATTAATTTTTTTCACTCGTTAAATTAATTAATTCATTTTGAATTTGAGATACTAAATAATGCACATATAGGTGTTTATTTTAAATCCTTTCTACGTGATTTTTCAAAACATTATCAAATAGCGAAAACAATTCAATAATTTTCGAAAAATTGCCATTATGCTGAGAATGTATAGTAGATGATGTTCCACGAATCGAAAGATTTTGTGCAGCTATGCAACGTAACATAGCACACAACCGATTTAAAACAGACCTCCAATGTTTTATTTCCGATTCTAAAATACGTTGATTTTGAGAATCAATAGTTTGATTTAGTTTTAATCTTAGAACCATTTCTTGTCAATTTGAAAAATAAAGAACATGTGTTTTTGATGTTTCGTATATTTTGAAATGACCCGACAAATTTCTCCAATCATTATAACCAAATTCAGAGACCACTCCTGAATCAGATAGTTTGGAACTAAACATTCTACAGCAGAAACAGTACATATTATCATTTTTTTTCGAATCAACCAGGACCTTTCTAATTGTTCTTCATTATGAAAAGTGTGTTGGTAATATGCGCTAGAAAATTTCCAATTCAATAGGTTTTTCGGAAAATCAAAATTTTTTATTTGCACGAGTCCTTTTTTTATGAATAATATTCGAATGGAGTCGGTTAATTTTAGTGGCCAATCACTTGGGTCATCTGATATTACTGCAAAATGTTCAACACTATTTATTTCCATAACGTTCTTATCCGAAATATTGTCAATTTCTTCATAATCAAATTAATCAGAATCAATAGAATTTCTATCAGAATTATTAAATAAATCGACTTCTATTCTTTGTAAAGAGTTATCAGATATGCCATGAGAAGTGGACGGTAAACAGTTCAAATTGTAATTTGATTGTGTGTCCTGACTCGAAGTTAAAGTTAATCCATGAGCAGTTGTAATTTGTGAACTATCATTATTAAGTTGTTGAATTTCATCCATAGGTTGTTTCAATAAAAATTTAGTGAAGCTCCCTATTTGTTTGTTGATAAAATTTTGTTTATTTTCTCGAGTTTTTTTATATTCAGCACCAGAAAGTTGTTTTCGTGACAACATGATCAATATGCAATTATGTTACATTATAAGTTTATAACAATATTGAATTATCTAATAAAAAAAAAAGTTATAGTAGTATACAAGTTTTTAGAAGACAAAAAAAAATTTTTAACACGTCTAGCAGCTTATACAACTATATAAGAGTTATTAATTTTAAAAAATATGTTAAGTTTACGAATTATAAATAAAATAAAATATATCTCTAGCAGGCGCGGATCTAGAACTAATCCAATTGAAAAAAAATTATAATAATTATCAATTATTTTTTGCTTCAACGTTGAAATAGACCATAGACCATAGGGCATATACTGTAGTTACTTCACCGACGACCGATAGTTGAAAAATGAAATATGGTATTATTAAAATAGAAGACTACAATCATATTCGGTAAATGTATAACAAAAAAATTAATATATTAACGTTTATGTTATGGGAATACCAATGTTTTATTTTTATCGAAAACCATCGATAGTCAATATGGCCATACGGGTTACGATCTACATGTAAGATATTTCTACATACATTATACAGTATACACTATACACTATTACACTATACTACTTATACATTGTGATCATACGCTATCATAACGAGATAGCAAAACTTTTACGATAACAATTAACAATGAAGACGCAAAATAACAATTAAATTTCTGTCTTTTTTGAAAATTTAATACTACAATTTACCGCCTCAATTTCTTTAAAATGTTATTCCGCCCTAAAACAACGCTTGGCTTGCTTGTACCCTAGCGACGAGCCTGCACACAGAGATAATTACGAATTAGGTAACTACGGAATAGAAATACTTATGTTTTCGTTTAAACATTTACAATATTTACATAGTTATTTTTTTTCCGTACTCATCATTAAAAATTTTACGCAAACCACGAAGAAATTCAACAATACCAGTTAGTATAATTTGCGCATTTTTTTTTAAAATTCTTATTTTTATTTTAATACATCCTTTTTTTTCTTATGATGCTCCTCGACCCACAACATGTACTGCAGATTTTTAAATTATTGATACTTTCTTTCTATTTGAAGTTCTTTATAAAATATTGAATAAATATTAAAATATATGGATGTTTGGATGAATTAAATGTAGAAAGAAACGTGTTCAATAACACTTTTACTCCCAAAATTAAATCATGTGTCTAATTCCATTTACGTAAAATATTATTTTATATCCAAAAATGCCAAAAATAATAAATATAAAAATTCCATGTATAAGCAACTCTAGCGGACTATTGTTTGCAAACAGTTGACGTATAACTACAATGACAATCGTTTGATGGTTGATTGTTTTATTTTTTAAAACCATGGGTGGAGCAATAAGAAATATATTGATTTCTGACAGTTACGTTTCTTTCGTTTGTAGCCCGTTTTTCGGGTTTTAAACCTGCGCTAGTTACAGTTCATCTTTACTATTACAATCATTACTCAACATTTTAAGTTCTTATAAAATCTTGTGAAAATAAAAAATAAGGAATCTTACCCTTTTACGTCCTCTATCATGAATAAACTTTTTTGTTTCTGCCAAACGATTGCGTGAGCAAATTTATAAATATCTCATCTTTATAAATATATATATAACATTTGAATACTGAATTACAGTTCCAATGTAATATCGTCTAGTTCAGTATTATGAAGAAAAAAATAAAATATAAGAATATATTGGTCTTACACTTTTTTTTTTTACAGTTATGCTTAAAGATAACCTTTTTCAGAGGATTTTCATAGTTTCTTGTTAGATTAAAAATTAATTTTCCGTATACTTATGAACATATAATTTTTCGATTTTTTCATTCAATTTTTAAGCAAAACTAAAACACTTTGTAGCCATCTTAAATTTCATCCAGTTTATAATTAATTTAAAATGAACTTCATTACGCTGTTTGTTTACGGCTTTAAAATTAAGTGTTATACCTTTAAACGAATGTAGAGTAATTTATTTATTTTATTTACTTATACATTTATACAAACAATATCCAATTTACAATATAATATTGTATATGTATATATAAATATACTAAATAACATACACTAAATTCTTCAAATTTGTTTAACAATCAATGAAACCTATAAATACTGTAAACAGAACTTTAGAATATATTAGGATATATTAGGATAGGATTGAAAATTATTTAAAATTTATCATAGCACTTAGCATAACTCAACATTTTTTTTCGATTGATTATAGACCCTAAATTAATATTAATATGTTGCTATGTAACGTTTGCCAAGGGACACAATCTGCTACGCGTTTATATCAATTATATCACATATCTTTATAACCTCAATTGTGTACCTTACATATATCTTTATCGCAGGGTATATCATATCCAACCAAACGTGTTGATCTTTCAACAAAACATTACTAAAGTTTTTTATTTCCAATAGGGTGCTCAAGTTTTTGCAGACACTCCGCGTAGTCCAGAACAATGAACCAATCAGAGACAAGCTGAAGCTATATCGCGAGGCGTACAATTACGGCACCGAGATGGGAATGGGCATGGGCGACGATGAAAATCTTGTGAATTCCGTTTGTTCGGAGATCCGATACCCTTGTCGAAACACGCAAAAGTCGCTGCAGAGGAGCACGAGAATGCTGGTGGACTTGGCACCGTTCTGATATCCGTCACCGTCCGTTGCATACCGATCCCAACGTCTACATTTTGTACATACTTTAATAACAGATGAAAATTCATCGAATCGATATTACAGTTTATCCGCATGAAATCGAAAATCTTACACGGATGAAACGTGTGGTCCTAGCGAGACGACCGATACACCGTTCGAAAAATCATCGAACATCTATGTTTTTTTTTTTTAATTTATTATAATAATAAGTATATTTATTCAAAACCCAGTAGTGTTTACCCTGTAGTGTATTATTAGCGTTTTAATATTATAACCGTTTGCTTAAGAATACGACCTAAATTAATTATTATGTTATAGTTAGCGAATACCTCTATGGTAAATTCGTTCACGTTATACATATAGAATAATATTAAAATAAATACGTATTTTTTTTTTATAGATTTTTTTTTTTTGCTTTTAATAGTTTTTACCCCATTTTGTTATTTCGTTTGTCCTCGATTCGATGAGATGAAAGATAATCATGTCGCCAAGGAACATATGCGGTTTACGGGGTTTTTTTCATTAAAAAATGTACTACGCAGAGGAAAGTCGGACGTGATCAAAAGTAGACTTTCTGTTCGTCCATAAAGTAATGGCACACGGCTGATTGGGTCGATGTGACAAATGGTAGAAAACCCCCTAAGATGACGCTTCTTCGCCCGCAATTTCCGATGAAAATTTATCTTTCAGAACGCATTTCCTGTGCCATAAACTGTTGGTAGTGTGCACCAAGGGCTACTGTTACTTTCGCGTCGATAATTATCGGGATAAATCGTCGCGGTTTTTCTGTCCGACGCTATGACCGGTAATTCCTGCGGTACATACAGACATCGACGACAAACACACAACTTTTTGCGACCGCGGAGCAATCATGTCAAGAGTCTAGGCGATAGGCGAATACACACAGTGGCGGTTCATTGAGTTACACTAAATATAAATTGAAAATTTTCCATATCGAAAAATTTGCTTAAAATGTTTCATCTTTATTTTTGCTTCTAAGAATTATCTGCGATAAAAATTTTAAAATATCAACATAACGTTGTTGAACAGCTAATAAAGAATCGAAACTTGACGATCAACGAGTTGTACATAATATTTATAATTCGTAATATCTGATGATTTTGAAGATAAAAGTATCTAATTATCAACGTTTAATACTATCCGAAAAAAATGTATAAATATTTTCACACGTGCAAAGAAAATGCCTACTTCCGTTGATCAATTCATTGTATAATTTAGAACCAGGTTCAAGTTATGTGAAGCACAATGAATAGATGCATTACGATTGTGTATGGATCTCTTTGACCATTACGATTGCGTACGTTTTGTCATATTCAAAGTTAATGCAACTTTTCCGCTGCTCTCAATCATGAACATTTATAATATAACTTATTTTAGGAAATTATTGCTTGTATTTGATAGTTTCATAAACTTCACTGTGACTATTATTCGCAGGTTTTTTGATAATACATTTTAAACTTTAAAGTTAATGTTTTGTCTCATAAAATAAAAAGTATATAAAATTATATAAACATTTTTAAAACATTCATAGATTATAATTGATTACGTAAGTTTTATTCATTCTAATTTTAGAATGACATATTAACCTGAGAGTTTCCAAAGACCTTTTAATGTTTAATCCCATAATGCACATCCACCAATATACTTTATCATTGAGTCGTTGAAAAAAATTTAGACTTAATTCAAGATAAAAATATCTGATGTACAAAAAAATTATATTCAAAGCTATTCCAACTAAGGATGTCTATATATAAGGGTACAACAAGAAACAATCATTTTGTTTACAAATTAATATTGATAAAATATACGCGTCAACAAACATAGAGTAATAATATTTTTATTGCAGTACATGATGACAACTTTGCACTCATTTTCATACGCAGTCGTAATGTTTTTAAGAGTCAGGTAGAGAAATCATATGCAATTGTAAATAACCGCAATGGATATATGTTGGTGATTATTGTTTCAATTTTAACTTAGCCTGGACGCCTGATATAAACTACTCATGTTGACAGCTCCATCATACCCTTGACCACGAAGTCTTAACAAGTTTAAATAATTTTTTGCTATAAAAAATCGACTTTACTAAACCAACACCTGATTTATTCTAAAATGTCTGAAAATACAATTTGTTAATTTAGTTTCCTTTTTTATGATTACCATTGGAGTCTAAAATAATTGAGAAGCATCAAATAACTTTACTTAGTTGATCAATTTTACTAATATCATGAGTAGTATTCATTATTATCTTTTTAATTTTTCATACATTATTGTATTTTGTTTTCCCGGCATGTTGAGTTGTACTCGTAATGGGCTCCTTCTAGCCAAGAGCCTGTGGCATTTATACACATCGCATACATGTATGACACGTCATTGCATACACACATGCATAACATAAACATTAAAACAATTGTATCTAGTTGCCATCACAGTGTAATTATTTCATTTGAAATTTCAAAACGTTTGTCGAACGAATGTAGAGCAAACAATGAAATCATAATCCGTTACGAAATTATACATTGACGTTCCATTATGTTATGAATTTTAATTTCACTGTCGAGAAGATGCGCTATGTATTTGTCCGTCTTCCATGAGCGTGTAACGTAAGAAACACAAGTGTTTACAACTGAAAAAATTTCAATTTCATATATGTTGTGAAAAACACATTTACTGTGATCAATCATGTTAGATTTTGATAAGTTACCAAGTTGATACTTTCTACGTGGATTTAAATATATTGTAATATAAAAACGGATATTTTAAGTATTATTTTCTAATTTAGACGTTTTCTACTCATTTTCCAACGCATTGATCGATAAGTAGGTGCGATTACTATTATTAAAACTGATTTGAATTCACCTTTATGTTTACTTAAGATCACCATTTTTTTAAAAAAAAATTGTACTTAAGATAATAAAACATTAACTCTTGTTAAATGTTATCTTTACAATTTGTTCCGTTATATTTCTTAAAATTCTGGAAGGAAAAATAAAAAAGTAGGAAATTCAATCTAAAGTAGATTTTACAACAAATTAAAATCAATTTTCAAAATCCATATCGCATTTGATCGCTTTTCGGTGTGTTGGAAATAGAAAACGTTTTAATGCCTGGATTACACTCGTGGTAAACAGAAACAAAAAAAACATACCTAGCAATCATTTAAAACATAGTAAAATACCTATGCTTACTTGTTGATCGAACTATCAAATATATAACGCTAAAAAACAATAAGATTGACTGATACATTTTATTTCTATAACATTTTAAATAATAAGTTTTTTGTTGTTAAATTCTCGATGGTTTCTAACGCATGAAGAAAAAAAATAGATATACGGGGTTCTGTACGTATGAAAAATAATTAGTATCGAGTACAATCATAAATATTCGATGAGGATAGAATAAAACTGTACAGAAATAAACTGTCTGTGCATATGCCGTGCGAGTATACAGCAAAACAGCAATGGTAGGAAGATAAATAAAAATTATTGCCATCAGAAGCTGCAGTAAAACGTGTTTGTTTTTATTACCTCGTAAACCAGCAACACAAATATTATTGTAAGAGCTAGACGATACGCAAGATAAGAACGAATCGCGTACATTTGAGTTTAACGGAATAAGAATAAGCTTATAACACATCATTAATAATATAAACGTTTGAGTATCAAAATAAATGCATTGACTAATAAATAAAATATTAATTAAATTATTGTTCTTCATTTGAATTGTAATGTAGAATTATTGTAAACCAATAATCAATTAATTGCTAGTGGGCACGTAAATATAAAATATAGTAAAATATACAAGTACCCAAACTCTTATTTTATATGAAATTGATAGCAAAAAATGCGCATGTTAAAATTTTACCCGTTGGAAAATGTGTAAATTATCAAATCGAAAAAATCATATCGATATAATTTATTCCCGTTATGAAATAACATAATAATTTATGGCTTGTATCAATATTAATCACTGTTATCTGTTTGTTAACACGGCGAAATTAGTAAAAATTTAATATTTGTAAAAAAAAAAAGTTCAAACACGTTTCATCCAGTGGCATTTGCCAACTGTCACGCAGCCGGTCCAATTTTGATGAAGGGATGCAACGTACAACTACTCTTGAGTCTTTCCCATCCCATTTGTCCGTGCATGTACTACCTGCACTTGCTAAAAACGTTTTAAAGTTATATAATATTTAATATAACATTTATTTTATGGGTACACGTACGGACTATTATACAATACTAATGCAAGCGTATACGCATATTTTGTGTACCACGACAGGTTAGGCAAAGCATTCCGGAATTAAATAATTTAAATATTGCCAACGCTAAAAGATAAAAGTTTACAATGATAATTTTCTGGTTTAAATAATTATTCAATGGGTGGGCAGATAAGAAATTACTTCACACCAAAATTAAAAACTGAATATGTTGGTCTTTTGAACTTTAAACCATTGCTCCCAAAGAAAATATACTGAATATCTGAATATTCAGAATCATTTAAACGTTTAGTGCCACCACTCATTTTAATCAAAACGTTTAGTTTAATATAATATAGGAGTCATACACAAAAAAGATAAAAACATAAGTAAATTTTATTTTTACCATCAAATTTTTCACCATTTTTCACCCTTCAAAAGTTGACTTCTAGGGCTACGGCTCTGGTTAGTCTAAGGATAAATACGTCTCTGACTACATCCCATAATTTTTCTGAATTTAAAATTAATTTTTAAAAAATTCTCATTGTAAGTACATCGTACAATTTTACTCTAAACTATTGGTAACTTTTGTTTAGATATAATTTATTGAGACCAAATGCCTACAAAGATAATTGCGAACGTCATACAATTATTGTTCAGTGATAATGTTATGATAATTATTAACACAGACTCCATTGCGTTCTAGAAATATGTATTATACATAATTATTTTAAAACTACTCGTATTTCATAATTTACTTTTTAATTTAATCTAACGGGTTTCACGATGTTTACATATCGTAATTGCTGAAGTGTTATGTTTATATTAATTTTCCCTCGATATTATATGCTGCAGTTAACGAGCATTGGTCCGGTTCAATTGCTTCGACTTCACTCTCGTTTACGACGACGAAGAACTGTTTACAGAACAATCTTCCTTTTACTTGTGGCTAACCAATTTAATTCAGTCACAATGAAAGAAAAATCGACGATAATATTTTGTATTGTTCTAGATTCCGACCAATTAAACTGTCGCTCCTCCTCCGGGGACACCATTGTCTTTGATTTTCGATATCGGAGGAAATCGACATCGCACCGTCAATGCCACTGGGCTTGATCATTCGCAGTTCATAGTCAACGAGCGGAGTTCATAGAGCTATCAGCACATCTCCAGGCGGTATCAGAAACGTTTGGCGTATTCCTCGGTTTTCGTTTACCGATACTTAGCTCGTCCGGTCATCCTCCGTTAGAGCTGTCATTTGAATTCGTATAAATTATTATCTTCTATGGGTAACGATGTGCGGTTGAACATATATTAATGTAAGTTTGTATATACTTTGATCATTCAATATTATCATTTTGATTATGATATTTTTATAATTTTACGTTAGGTACTATTTATTATTATTATTATTATTTTTTGTTGAAACTAATCGATTTAAATGCGTCCTGAAACCGTTTTAAACTTTAAGCTGCTAACCAGTAAGAAGACCCAATAATGATTTATATATTTACAGGCAGAAAGTTGTAAACATCTGACGTCATACCGTTTGGTATACTATATCAAAACTAAACACATAAAAAAAAAAAAATATAATAATAGAAAAAGGGCGTTACAATGATAACTGCAATCATGACGCTGATGCTGGCTGGCAACTCTTTATCAATCGTAGCCGTTCAGTTGAACGACGGGCCGATTGACGCCCATCAAACGAACCGGAGCTCAAAAGAATTACAAGAGGAATCTAGATCGATCGATGATCCGGCAGTGTCACTTAAAACCATTGGTCGGAAGTTGAGCCCTGATGATTACAACACGTACTCGTCGTTGACGTCCGACGTCATCGTCGAGACCCCGTCATCATCCGGCATCAATCCCAAGGTGTACCCTTCGCTGACAACCAACGTGCCGACATTCGTTACGCGCGGCAGATACATCAGGAACCCGTTCTACTTCGCCAAAGATGACCAAGAAGTAGAGTTTGACGAGGACCAGCACACCGACTTGCTGCTAAACGGCGGAGTGCCGAAATGGAACAGGTTCGAAATTATGTGTTTTGTCATATGCCTCTTAATAGAATTGTACGGTATAATGTGTGCCATGTATTCAGAACGACCTGGCTTACAATAATACACCAGTATCCATCTGATAATGCAATTTCAAAAAATGATTCCCAGTAATACGAAAATGGTGTTAGTATCTCGATGAACGAAACAACGAAGTTTGAACAAACATCATAACTTATTAAGGGTATCGAGTTTTCTCTAAGTGACCAAGAACGGAGTAAAACGGTTGCTCTTTTTCTTTTCTGTACATAAAAAGTAAAATAACATTAAAAGAAAAATTACATAAAATTACATTAAAAATTATGACTTATCGAGTATTCCCACTGTAATGAACCAAATTATTAATTTAAAGCATATGAACTTTCTTCATCGTGATTTTGAGATTTTTTTTTTTTTAAGACAAAATAGAAGTGTTTTATTAATTTATAATTATATAATTCATCGAAAGTTATTCCTTAGGATAATGAACAAAAAATATTAATTGTACTTAATTAATAATTTATACATTTTTTTAAAATCTCTTAAAAACTAGGTATATCTTACTATAGAATATAAAAACGTAATTGATTTTTATATAGTTTATAACTCAATAATATTGTGAATGTTTGGTACATTAAAAAAAAACCCCATAACAGTTATTAGTGCTGTAGATAATAAAAGTGTTTTATTATTTTTTTATTTATTTTTTTTTAGTGTTCAGTCTAAACATTTGAAATAATTAACTAAAATTACTTTTAATCCACCATTAAAAAACTGTTTTATACTTTTGTATGATTTCATTAACCATTTTTTTAAATATTTAAATCATATATATTTTTTATTCATTTATAAAACATAAAATTAAGATAGATTAAAAATTAACAAAATCAATATAAACTAACTTTTTTTGTATCAAACGAAATAACCGTAAAATTAATGGAACAAATACTAAATACTTACTGATAAAAACATACCTAAATGTGAAATTTTGCATGATTAGCAGAAGGATATATTAGTTATCTGCCATCGAGATTTAAATTTAATTTAATCGTAATGTCCGTTTATACAACATAAATTAAACAAAAACAATTGTGTATATATACTCCAACATACAATGTAACAATCTTATTGTATATTTAAGTTCTTTTTAGTTATTAATTATTAAATTTAATTAAAATAAAATAACTTAAAACTATTTAAAAATAAAAACAAAGAAGAAACTCATAAGAATATAAAATAATATTAAATAAAAACTTTTTATGTACAAAAATGATAAAAATGAAAAAAATCTTATTCTTTTGGCTGACTTCTTTAAATCCCACTTTAAGATAGAGCATTTTCGTTTTCTCGAAGTAATGTACATATCCATCTTATTTTATCAACGAATATCATTATTATTTGAACAATTAACTATATTATATTATATTTACTAAATGCATCATTTTTCCGTCTATAATCATACTCAAATAATGAAAGGTAATAAAGTAAACTCAAAATATTCAGGTTTAATTAGATTTGAAAAAAAATCGTCAATGTTTCAGTGTTGCATGGCCATTTTAATAGAATACAATACATAGAATATAACAAAATCCTTTACCGCTTGTGTACATGATTTTCCAAGTGTGAAGTTAAAGAAAACCATTGTAGCTAACCGACACATGTATCACCGTGAAGTATAATTATTTGTAAGGAGTGTTTTACTTTCGTTGAGATTAAAACGTACGTGAATTTGACCCCCTCCTCACACACACACTTTATCCTATTGGTTTCAAACAAAAAATAAATGATTGTAAATCAATTGTAAATAATTGTAAATGCAATTTAGGAATTTGTAAACTGATGTGAGACATTACATTGTTATATCTGCCACATCGCCTTTGAATCCATAACCAGCTATTATTATACAGAAAAAGGATCGATTAGCCGAAAATCAATTGGCAATATAACAATATGATTTCATCACGAACTGAAACCGTGTCGAAGTAATAATTTTTGTCATTCAACCACAATGTATTACAATAAGTCTAGATAAAATTTCCAAGTATAAACAATATACAAAAATGTCCATATAAAAAAATGCCCAAGTACCAGGAGTGTTCGCATGTATAAAAATCAATGTTGTTAAAGTTATAGTAAAAAAGCAATACGGATTAGAGGTTGTGTAATTGTATTATTAATATAGCACGAACAAAGGTATAAAATATAACGAATAAAAATAAATAAAAATTAAATTAATATTAAAGTATCTTAAAATTCAAAAACGTTCACTTATGATTGTACAGTTGGTAGGTAGTAAAAATAATTATAAATGATCATGAAAATGTCTATAAAATATAAGTTACAACTGATCCTCGGATATTTTTTCCGTGGATATTTTTTTACCGATACCCATCGCACTAGTGCGTTCAGTACTTTGAGTTCCGTCTTCTTAAAGTTAAATTCGTACATGTTCTTTACAAACATCACTGGGTCATAATAGTGGTGGTGATGGACGGCAAATAAATTATAAACGGATATGTGACGCGTTAACGAATGAAATCGGAAAAAATCGTTTTTATCGGGAAAGCGAAAAGTGGTGTATGGGCAATGTCACGCGTAGTCTGTGTGATCCGATACAGATTGTACTAGTATATCCAGTATATTTATACAGTCCCTACCCATCAATATCCCTCGCGCGGTAAACAAACCTCGCAAAAACTTGAAATCACGTGGTGGTGCGCAGGTACAACACTAATCACAGGCAGTTGAACAAATACGGTGCGACGCCCATCGATGCGACGGACATCACGGTCGACGAGGACGGATCGGCCGGCTACGGGAGCGCGTTCGAATACGGCGGCGGCGGTGGCGGCGGCGGCTTCGACTCGGGCGGCTTCAAGAACACAATCGGTGGTGGTGGCGGGGACGGCATGATGGGCTGGTTCAGCGAGCCGATAGCGCAGTCGTCGCGGCCCGTGCCGATCATCGCGGAGATCCGGCACCCGAGCAGTCAGTACAAGATGTCCGTGGACCTGTCCAAGATCGGGATGCTGGCGCTCTTCAAGATCGCGGTGGCCAAGCTCAAGGCGCTGGGATTCATCAAGGCTATGCTGCTGGTGCTGTTCAAGATCAAGCTTCTGCTACTCGTACTGGCCGCCAAGTCACTGATGCTGGCCAAGCTCATCAAGCTGGCCATGGCGCTGCCCGCGCTCCTCTCGCTGCTCATGTTCCCAATGATGTTCTCGCGGCTGTGGCGGCTCAACTCGCTACTCAACTCGCCCGTGCTGGTGCCCACCGGGTTCCCGGATAACGCGGGTGGCAACCGGCCGGGCGGCGGTAACCAGCCGGGCGGCGGCAGCGGCGGCGACAATGGCGGTGGTGACGAAGACGGCAAACGGCGCAGCAACCTAGACCCGTTAGATGCGCTCGACCCCGGTGTCACGTACTTAAGGCGGCTGGCGCGCACCGAGAAGTGCGTGGAGAGGGTCTCGTGCCGCATGGCTGGCGCCCCGCGGCCCAGTCTCCCGCTCATCTGGTTGAACTGGTAAGCTCTATCAAGTGGTAAAGGCTTCAGTCATATAGATTTTTAGCCTAGGGTTGATATAAATTGTATCTTAAAATTAGATTAACACGCTATGAAACAGGAATACCTTATGGTCTATGACTTAGGTATACAATGTGGAAAAATTGGATGATTTTGATGGTGTGTTTTGTTCGTTGAACACTTGGTGTGAGGGTTGTTAAGATTCTTACGGGCTTCTGTATATTTGTGGCAGCTGATGGCTACAAACTCTATTGATTACGTATTATATTTCATTAAAAATATCGCATAGCGCTGGTTCCTCATTACTGATCGTTGTTGATTAATTTTGAGATATAAATGTGTCAGATGAGAGTGGCCAATTTTGACTCGAGTGATGATAACTCTCTTGTCTTCTTTCGATACAAAGGGGGATAATAAATAGATTTGAGAACGCTCGAGGAGTCGCTGATTATGGTGTTGCTGTTTCAAAAGTTTGAATATGAAATTATTTTGATTGCGGAGTAGCACTGAGTAGCTAAATTTCAGTTTTGTGACGCATGTGAAAATCTATATTATATTTTTTTTTTTATTATAACTATATCTATCGCTCAATTAACATTTCTGATTATAATAAATGATAGGTGTGAAAAACACAATACATATATTTATTATGGTCGGCACTTTTGCGGTTACGTTTTTACTCGCGGTCATTAATTTTCATGTAATTACCGTATTAATCAATTCTTCCGATACTTCCGGTTTCGAAAAATGCTGTCTATTGTTGATAAAATAGTTTTATAGAACTAGTGATCGTCTCACGGATCGAGGTTCAACGGTATTCAATCACTGTTCCTTCCGCAACGATATCAAGATTTTTATATTAGGTGTATGGCTAGTTTTTTGATCTCACCTTCTTGGGCCGTTTATCCATTATCAAAAATCATATATTCTATATTCCATATTCTAGAAAAATTTCATACAGTCATCAATCATGAAAATTGAATAACCGCAACAAATGGTGCTAAAAATATAGTGACCGCAAATAAATCAATCGCATCGGGATGCCAAAATCACACGTATAGGCAGTCAGGCTTGCCCGATAAAAACGTTGGACCGACAGATGTTTTCCTCGAATTTACCACGATTCAGTGGCGTACGTATCAACAGGAAGAAAATGACTCAAAATAGAGCTCTTCGAAATCTTGCGCAAAGATAAAGCGAACACAATATGAAATGGATATTTTATTTTTGTGTACTATGTGGTTAGGTTAAAGATAAAGATAAAAATAAATTCAAGTTTTAATGTCTGAAGTATTATCAACAAAAAGTATTTGTCACTAAAAATAAAACAATTTTCGTGAACACAGTGGAGTTTAGAGTGTTTCATTTTTTTTTTTTTTTTTACAACGACAGCGGGTGGGTATTATTATTTGTTATACAATGTACTTTGGAAAATATTTTTAACGATAATCATACAATACTGGTCACATTTAGTATTTACTACATGAACTCGTATGAGAATACCATGGACCCGATGACAGCGGATTCCTTAAACTACTAACAAATCCGTAATTATGTATATAATATGCATAAATGTGAGGATATAGTGAGCTCATTTGAAATGCCAATGCATGGCGTTAATATGCACAATGGATTATACTATATTCAAAGTAGGCGATAAAATTATCATAATCAAACGTGACATTAACTTCGAGGGAGGGGATTAGAGAATTCGGAGAAGCTCACCCATCAATTCAACCTATGGTACCGTCGAGTGATAGGGGAGTGCTACGAAATTATGATTAGGCATACCGGTTCAAAATATGTTATTTTAAAATTATGTTGATTAATTATTTTTTTCATTTCGAGTGTAGGAGAAACCATCATAAAATAAGTGAACTAATCAGCATCCATACGTTTTTAGCTTATATATTTACTTCTTATTAAAACAAAACGTAAACTAAATAGCGGTAATGTTTTATTTTAACATTACAGGGCAGTTTCACCTGTATCAAAGTACATTCCAAGCAAGAAAATAAAGTCTTTCGTTTCGACATTTACAGAAGTAACCAATTATCGTTTGGATAATTTGTACAGTAGTTTATTACCGAGTGATTGGACTCAATGGTGCAATGATCATTATTCGTGCGATCAAGATAAGAACAAAACATAAGATGCATGGCAAATACACATATTGTTTTATTTATTATTTAATATACCTATTATTTTTAATCATATTTTATATTAATTTATTTCATGATAAGTATCAAATTCACATGGCGTTAGATAATCCCAATTATTGTTTTTTTAATTTATTATGTTAAAAATCGTTAGGTTGCCGGAAGAAGTTCTGCGGTTGGAGCAAATATAACTATTATTTAATTTGTTGTTTAGAATTTTTAATATATATTTCCTTATACTAAAATTAAACCGACGTTATGTGAAATGATTCTTAAGTCTTGAATATTTATACAGGTTTTGCGTATAGAATTAAAGTTTAATATAAAATATTTTTAAATTATGTTTGTGAACATAAAAGAAGTTTATATAACAGTTTGTACACGATCGAAGTACATTTCAATTTTATATTATATTTTCGTTTTAATATTGTTCATATTTTTCGAATAATTTATTAAATATTATTTTACGAATACAATTGTTATTGTTTGTACATTGTCTATATATATATATATTTATTTTTATTATTTGACTTTCAAGAAAAATTAATAATTTAAATAGTACATAATATTATATGATTAGTAATAAAAATATAGAACATAAATATACAAAGTAATAAATTATAATTCTTTTACGGATATTAGATATCAGATATAAATACTGCATGACAGCAGGTAAGTCGTGTGATAATACATCAAGTATAAGGTGGAATAATGAATAAATTATAACTTTATACCGCACGCTGCAACTCGTTTGCGCACATTCAAAATTTTTTACCTGAAAATCGACGACTTGTTTGCATACGACGACACATTCACACACATGACAGGTAAAGTTTCAGTAAGTATGGACTATGAATATGGACGGTACAGTGGTGACTATTGTGTTGACGACGTAAACTTTAATATGACGTAGAGATTTCTAATATTTTCGAATCTCGGTGTGGAAAACAATTTTTTAATATTGATAGTTAAAAATTTAGTGAATACCCTGTTTTAATGAGTGGATATTCAAATTTTAGATGCACAAGAAAAAATGTCCTGCGAGTGTTATTGTTAATAACTCAAACAAAATAATAAAAATAACCAACTCTCATAATCATGAGGAGTATAATAATCAACGATAATAACCAAACGAGTTCTGACACTAGGGATTTTCGTCATAGGTAGCCAAAATATATGTGTACAATCGAGTTGTGCATTTTTGCGCAAACGAGTTGTAAAAAAGGTAAATGTGCGCAAGCGAGTTGTAGCCATACCGCATCAATCTGGTTTTTTCAAAAACTGCAACTGTTTTAAATAAAATATTTCTTATGACTAATGTATGTACTGGGTTGCAGCTGAAAACTGTTAACTAATAAATAATATCTGATGTGTCATAATATATCATCGATTGAAATAAATAATAGAAAACAGTAACATTATCAATAATTTTTTCGTACTCGTATTTTGTACGTAATTTTACTGATATAGTATTAATATGTTTTGCATAAACTAGAAAATATAAGTGAATAAATAATACATTTTGAAAACTTACGGGATATGATATAAATTAAGTGTTTCTCAATCTTTACAATCCATAAATGTCTTATATGTAAAACAGACGACCCTCCGAAAAAAAACCTAGTATGCAATAATATAATAATATTACTATTTTATTATTAATGGTTGCAACCTGTAAGTTGGGAAACGCTGATATAAATCATACAGTACCCTGTAGTACATACAGAAGATACTAAATTAAATGATCACTCTAATTATATTAACGTAATTCTCGTTTCTACAACTGTGCTCTGTGATAATATAATTTCAATAAAAAAAAAAAATATTACTGTTTTCGATTTCTGCAATTTGATTTCAATTGCACAAGTTGGGTCTTCGCTTAAGAAATCCAAAACGATGAATAGTAAAATATTCCTCATTGTAGCTCGATAAAGTAGGTGCCGACAATTGTGAATAGTAATTATTATAATGCTAAAAATAATATTATTTCGATTTCAAATATCATTATACTTCATCACAACAGTAAATATTCTATTAACTTGTGTTGTTTGGGTATTCTTCAACAAGTTTAGTTACAATTGAGATAAACAGTGTACAGTATACACTTTAATAAGTTGTATAAATTCAAATGCAACGGTATAAAATTAAATTGCAACGTGGAAAGAAAATTGTTTCTTGCATAGAAAATTATTCCACAGTGTTATATTATTTGGCAACTACTTTAATCTCGAACTTAGTTTCATAAATAATTCGTAGTTTGGTTGGTTGTTTCTACAAACTACACAAATGTTATATGGCGCATGTACCTATATTTATTGTGTTTTTATTATTTAAATTAAAACGCTAAGAAATTCAATACTATTTAATAATAACACTTAAATTAATTTAAACGTCCATTAGTAACGTGAAGTAATAATACATTTAGCAGAAAAAAAATCTTAACCAAGCGATGATTTGATAATAGATTGAAAAATTGCTATATATTTAAAACTATTTCAGTATTAACAATAAAATTAAAAATTTACAATTCAAGTATTTTTGAATAAGTGATTTTCAAAATAAACTATACCAAAACTGCATTATTTATAATATAAATTTTAAAACTAATAAAACGAGTTTTAAATATTACAACTTAGTACATACGAATTATTATATCTATAAATATCATTATGTCTATTGAATTAAAAACAACATAAAATGTTGTTATTTATTTTTCTATTTTAATTTTGATACTCAAAATATCAATATTTTAAACATAATTTATATTTTCAATTTATAAAATGTAAACTTTTATGTTTCATCATTTTCAAAATAATGACTAGTTTTTTATTATTTTCTTTAATAATAAAACCATTTTGATGAATATTTTATGTATAATACAATATATCACAATAAACACTTAAAAATAGTATCATAAAATACTGCTAACGGATTATTTAACTCACAACTCACAAGATTCACGTTGAACTTAACTAACAGTTTATTTTAAGTATTTGTACTTAATCATTTTCTATCGTTCTTTTTCACTTAAGTGCAACTTAGTTTTGTTAAATTTGATACATTTAAACTATTATAAATCTGTCTTCAATATATTTTTTAAATACGTGTATATCTAAGGTTCTGTTAATGAATAGTCTCCTCTACACGCGACTTATTTTTGTATACAGTTCTATGTCATCCTTATTACTTATTGTTTTTATTTTGTAAACAAATATTTATAAATTCAATCGAGTATATTTTAAAAAAATAAATAAAAAAATAAGTGTATATTAAACAAAAGTATTTTCTAAACGCTTTGAAATTATTTGTTCTAGCTATAGTTGCTTTTTGTCGAATTTGGAAATGAGAAGACAGTTTAAGTTTGAATCAATAAAACTAAGAACATATATTCATATAACATATTAGATAGGTTTATAAACATATTTTCATCACCGTTGAATTATAATTCTATTAATTTTAAAATACTTTGAAAATGTCTCCGTTTATAAATCTTAACTTTAAAGTATAAGATCCTTAGGACTCATAAAACGAATAAATAGCTTAAATTTCATCAATCTTCTATTTTCAATGTTTGAGTCATTTATTATGGTGGGTTTTATGGACGTTTTTGCGATCATAATAAAACATTATGGATTATAAACTTAAACAGATATTTCATATTATGTTATTATATCACGTTTCAAGATAGTTATAATTTTAACACTTATAAGCTATAAATATTATATTTATTAAATAAAAAATTAAATTTAAATTTTAAGTACGAATAAAAATGTTCACTTTTGCAGATCACTTAACTTTAGACAACTAAATATTATTAAAACTCATAAGTACTCATAAGATCGGATATAATATTAAATCATCTTGATGTTGATAATCAGTATTCACGATAGTAAAGTGACAAAAATCGGAACGAATAACTATCAAAAAATGTATAATTTTTATTAAAATATCAATCCCGGAAACTTGAATAATAAATTATAACACATAACGATTACATCTTCTATTAAAATTACAATGAATTATTAAAAATTATACAAACAATAATATGGTGCACACGAGTTGATTGGAAAACTTTAACTAATAAAAGAAACCCATTATACAGTTTTTCTATAATATTTAATGTTGCAGTTTTAAAATGGTTATAATCTATTATCACCAAATAAAATTATGAGTTGTTTTTAACGATATTTTTGTGTAAGAAAAAAATTATATAACTTATACAATCAAAACCAAATTTGAAATATTAAAATGATATTTTTTCTATAAAATAATATGGTCTTCATTCCTAAATAACCCATAAAAATAAGATTGAATAAATGATTATTTCAGTGAAATAACTAAATACCTCATCATCTTCATTTATGATACTAAATCATTAATTTTTCTATGTGTGCTCGAAGTTTTTACAAATATTTTACTGAATCATAGTGTCTAAAATATAATCAACTCTTATTCATATATTTAAAATAAATATATGATTAAATTATAATATTTAAATAAATAATAAATATTAAACACTCACTAAGATATGTTTGCGGGTTCTAAATAATAGTTATCTAATTTTTCATTATACTCATATTATGTTTACATCTCATTTATATGGTTTGTTTTTTTCCGTTTTAAATTTAAAACATTTATGAACCTTGAAAATGTATTATATTGATGTACTATTGCGTGAATACAAAAACAACGTATGCATTGTCAGAGTTTTAATATTTTCTTTTTTCTAAAGTTTCTTGCAAACAGTGTAGTGATTTAAAACATTATTAAACCAACTTAACTCGTGATTGATCGGTAAACCCTCGGGCACTGAGTGGATAATATTTAATAATATTTCTTAAAGATATACATTTTGTTTTATGGAGTTGTAGTATACCGATACAGAGTACTAAGAATAGGTATTCATTTAAGATGAAAACATTAAACTTATATAGTTTACCTCAAATACACTACAAAAAAATAATTAATAATATTATTTCATTTGCTCTAAGCTTTTTTAATTTAAATGAGTTATTAATTTATTATTGGTAACATAATTTAATCTTAACATGTAGTAACATAATATCTAACGCAGTTGTATACATAAATTTATGAATAAATATTTTGTAAACATCCGATGAAGTTTGTCAATTTTGAACAAAGTAATGTAATTGTGTTTGGTTCTTGCAAAACTTACTAAAACCTATTATATTTCACCAGTTTACCACGAATTTATATACAAAATTTATTTTAGTAATTTTGTCGTTAAATTATAGAAAATCGGAAATATTCACCAAAAATTGTTTCTTCGTCATAATATTATATTGTAACCGTTGCCTTTCGGTGTCATAATTATTATTTTTTATCGGATATTCAATCGATTATAATTTATCAGCACGAATCGCATGCCCTGTAATATTTGTATCATCTAATATTCATAGATACATCCGAACCTCCAGACTGGGTAATGAAAAATTACACCTCGTTAGATTTTCGGAAACCTCAATGTCATCCGGTAAATCGGCATTATCCGATTTCCGGTTCGTCCACAATGGCAGAGTTCCGTAACCTACAAATAGTTGTCCCGTCACGTCACATGTAATTTTTAATTTTTTTTTTTTTCATTAGTTAAATTAAGATTTTCCAAACCTGTTTAAATCTATAGATAAAATCATAGTATTATTAATTTTTTTATCTTATTTTATTATGTTATACGCATAAAAGTAATACCTACCTATAGTTGTATTATCATCAAAGTTCATGCGCAAACGCATGGAATAGGGGGATAAGAAGAGAATTAAGAGTTCAGCTCTCCCCCAATTTTGGAAAAAATGTTATAAAAAATTATCTGACCTACAGATTGAATAGTTATTTTAAAGTTTCCTATGAGATTTGGAAATTAAATATATAAATACATTATATAATGAGTAATAAAGCATACTATTTATCAAAATTTTAAATTTTACATAATTTCAAAATCACCCCTGAAATTTTTTCTTGCGTTTATCTCTGTCAAGGTTGGTAGCAGTTATATGTATTGATACAATTTTTATAATCTAATTTTATTAGTCATTGACTAATTTACTATAAAAGGTCATGAGGGTAGCTCCGTTTTAATCGACATTCTAGATGATGGAGGGCTATGGGTAGATAATTATATAATGATCCTTTTTGGGTTTAACAGATGAATTATGAAAATTTGCGTCTGAAATTTTTTCATGCAGTTTCTTTGGTTGTCGTACAAAACATCGCATAGAATAATATTATACTCGATGTAATGATTCACTCGCTGAACGATTGTTGTGCACGATCGGTCAGTATAATCGCAAACAGTATAATCACTGGTTTTCTTATGCCGAGTTCGTGACGTACCTTATATTCTCATTTATATAACATGCCGTTCCTTGTAATCAATTTCTGCGGTGATGATGCTCTAAATTTCAGCTTCATCAAGTCCCGCGTGGATGTGGTCAACCGTTTGACGAAATGCTAACTTACACTTAATTTCATCGTGAATTACCACTACGTATCATTATCATAACCACCCGACAATTGGCTGGAAACGTGATATTATTATCATAATATATCCTATTATTGCATTCGGGCAGTGGCACTATATAATACAGAGTGGCCTACTGTGATACCTCGATGGAAATATCTTCGTGGATGTTAATTTCTTTATTTCAGTGCAGTTTAATAGGAGGATGGCACATTATAAACACACATTTAAATTTTCATCCCTTAACCAACTGGGTGTAATAACTTTTGAATTTTTCATTACTATAAGATTATGCTTCTTGTAATTATTTAATAAAAATGTAAAATTTGAATTACTTTTTTCAGACAGTTAATGGATGCAAATACAAATTTGAATATAAGTGTTTAATATTCAATATTTTCCTTTTATTTAACAGTAGGCATTAAAAATAAAAAAATAAAAAATAATAATAATAATATAATAGAAACTAATAACCACGAAGATATTTTCATCAGCATATTTTAACGGGCCACTATGTTTACAACGTATTGAAACCAAATGACGCGATTGGTTTTACAATTATGAGTTTTTTTAAAAATTAACCTTAATAACGTTATGTTGTAAGCAACGTATATTTGCAAAATACATGCTTGAACTAAAACGTATCCTATTATGCCGTCGTCGGAGATAACCTAAACAATCTTCACTGAATGAACCTACACTCGAAAATATTCTGTGTAAATATAATACTTAATAATATGTTTTCTAACAAAAAAAACCCTCTTGATTTAAGGGTTATTTTGTTAACCGTTGCCTTGGACTTTTATTAAAATCATTAAAATCGCATCTTTATTATTATTATTATTTATATAACTGAAAATTTAACTTTCTATTTACAACGATATTTCATAAACTTTATAAGTTCAATGATGTTCAATTCAAATTAATTTCCAATAATTGGTTTTGGTTTTTTTTGTTAAAGTTTGAAAAAATCGATAAGATAATTTCACTTAGGTTATTGATATTTCGATTACATATATATAATGTAAGTTGAAATATGTTAATACCTACATTATTTGTCTCCTCGCTGTCTTTAAATTTCCCATCCCATTAACCGAATAATGGTCATTCGAATGCTTGAATAATTTCCATTCAGATTAAATAATAACAAAAATAACCTTATATTTGTATTATAAACTATTCAATAGTTGTCTAAAATATAATTAATAATAGTTTTAATAAATTTTAAACTAAAGAATTGTTTTTTCAAAACCATACAAAAAAATCGTGGTGTTTTTAATTAGTTAATTAGTTCTTTTGGAATATTTTTATTAATAACAAATTACAATGATACAAATATACACAATAATTAACTAATTCTTAAAAATGAGCTTAAATGGTTTGAATTTATTTCTACAATTATTAATCGCAGTTCAGTCAACGTGCAAATATTTATTATTTAAATGTTAAAACTGATTTTGCTGACAACGTTTTTCTTCGGACTTGGTGATACTAAATGAAAACATAATATAATAAATATAATAAAATGAAATATTTTATTATTTTAAAGCTGCGTTGCATATTCGGCAGTTGAATAATTTAATACAAGCCTTTTGGCAATGAAAAATATTAAAAGTTGTAAAAGTCAATATCATATTGTTAATTTCATAGGTAACTTAAAATTTAATATTAATTATAAACAATTCTTATGAAAAATATTTATTAATATGCGTCATAAAATAGTTTGACTGATCCGGTAACAAATAGTAGGTACACACATGAGCCGCGGTTCGTATCGGAGAATTCGATTTTTTGTTACTGTTACGATTAAATTATAGCTATAACTATTGGATTCTTCACAATTATAAATAAACGGTTTGACACACGCACAATCGATTCGTACACAGTCGTAGACGTGTTTGATTCGATAAAAGAGTAGGAAATCGTCTGCCGTCACTCTCATCTGCTTTACTTGATTGCAGCGTATATATATATACATACATATATATAATAATTTCTTATTCTCTTTTTCTTTCCCGCCAATTAACCTCAGACCTTCCTCCACCTCTTTCGGTTGTAGGGTACAGTAATTGTATTACCGCGGTAAAAAACAGTAGTAGATTCCTTTTGGAATTGTCGCCAACGACAAACCCAACCGCAGTAGTTCATTTGTATTACACCTTCAACCACCACGTCCGTTTCGTCCGTTTTGTCGTATCATTAATCATAAAAATTAATTAATTTGAATAATCTTATAAAACATCGAACGATAATATTTGCAAATAGGATTTTTGTTTTTTTATGATTTATTTTAATTTTTGTTCTTATAACACAGTAGTTCTAAATTCCGTCCGTGCAATAAACTCAATCATTGAAACCGAATCGTATTATGGTGAGTACACAAAACATTTTAATTTTTTTTTTTTTTTACAGTGATAATTTAACACTTTGACCAAATATTTTTTTAAAGCATTTAAATTATGACAATCTGGATGTTATACATTCGTTTTGAAATTGAAATAATATTAATTTCTAAAAATGAGAAATTTTATTTCGACATTTTAAAAATCATAATTATTTCAATAAATACTATGTAAATTTTGTTAAGGTTCACAAAATTAATTATACCATTCTTATAAAAATACCGTTTTTTTTTATCATCAAAAAAATATTTTAACATATTTATACCAGTGGTAAGTTTAAATATCAATTAAGCCTATATACAAAGAGGATTAGGGAGGATTTCGATCTATGATTAGTAAAATTTGATTATTATTAATTACTTTCGGTTTTTTTTTTTAACATTCATCATATTTGTTGGTGACTCTTCTACGAACTATATTAATATAATACGATAATACAACACGAATACAATTATCGATTATATTTTTATGAATATTCATAGTTCATCATCAACCTAATCATGTGTAGTAACCACAAACACCCTTATTATAACACTATATTAAATTCAATACGCTAATACGAGTATTTAAAATTGTGAAAATACATTTTATTAAGTATCTTAAATAGCTATAATATTATAATAGAAATACTTCTTTTTATATATGAGATAGAAATTCAAATTTTCAACAAAAATTCGTTTCACGTCATTCTAATTCCAAATAAACCAATTTATTTTGGCTTTTTTTTGTATAAATACTTTTTTCAATTATTCCACCTGTGGAATTTTATATGTTTATTATGCTATAGTAATAAATAAAAATTTTATTTTATTAATAAGAAATGTGAAAACCCTGAATACGGACTTAATAGATCGGCTGAATTATTAAATGTATAAAACCTATAGCTTATCGACCTACATATAGCTTATAGAATCTATGGTCAGTACTCCTATAACATCGATATCGATCATTTCAAAATTTAAGTTTTAGTGTTGTAATTTATAATAATATATTTAAAATAAACCTATTTTATAAAGTATCCACCAATAACTTCAGTGTATGTAGAGCGTTCGTTTTCCGTGTATAAAAACATTCTGTCAGATAATAGAGTCAGTTTCACTATTACAAATCTTGCAAAGTACATGTTAGATAATTCTTTTTTTAATTTAAATTAATTTTTCAATTTTTTTTTTACTCAGTTTTATACTCAAGTCATATTCATTTTTGGTCATGCTTTTTTTTTTTTTTTTAATAAATATGCTTCGTTTTGGTTTTTTTAAAACAATTTTTTACTTTTTTGGGAATTTATTATGCTTTAAAATCCGAACCCTACTAATAAAGCTTTGACTTCTGGTGTCTGTCTTACATTTTGTTATTTAACCGACTTCAAAATAACTTTACTCTAATTATGAGATTTTATTATCCAGCATTAATTATTAAAAGTAAATATTTATACAGTGCATATTATTAGTAATATTAATATTATTAATTCTTCCGTAATTTTTATATTTTATATTGTTTTATTCTTTAGTCTGTTAGTTAAATATTTAAAAGAATTAAGATGTATGCTTTATTTAATAGTATAATAATAACATATTGTTAATAAAACATATAACAATTAAAAAAAATTAGAATATTTTTCGATAAGATTTTCAAACAAAAGTGTATACGAATATTTAATTTTTAAGACAGTTTAAATTTAGGTTAAGTTTATTTAAAAGTTATATTTAGGAATGATATTGAAACTTACAAATAGAAAGAAGTACTTATTATTTTCCTTGCCAATCCTATTCTTTCAGTCGCAGGAAAACAGTAAAAGTTATACATCAATAAATCGATTAATTTATTAAGAATTAGGTACATCAAGTTGGTACTCATAAAGGCTCTGTTTCTAACCAACTAGAAGTAAAAACTAATTATTAATTAGTTTTAGTCATTTCCAATAAATAATTGATACCTAAATCATCAGTGACTTTATTATACAATTCAAATGATATTTATTATTTAAAAAATTGAAGTGTTTAAAAACCAAAACAAAAGCATCACATATTTAATAGTTTTCTGCAAAATAAGTATACAATTAATTTATAATATTGTTTTATTTTTTATTTATTTATTTTAATTTTATTTTATACAGAACGGGCCATGTTTATTGTTTAATATTTTACTTACAAGGGTTGCATAAAAATAATATATGTAGGTATACGGTATACCGGCATATTTGATATTAGTTTTATCTCCTTTTTTTAATTTATAAGTATTTTTAAAAACAACAAAAAAAAATACACAATATATTATAGTATGGCTGTTATGTCCTATTTATGAAATTTATGTGGACTAATAAGTTTTCTTTTCCTGTTTTAGAAACAGAATTTTCGGTTAACTTTAATTGGTATTATTAAAAATGTATTATATTGTTATATCATATATTATGTTTATTCACTAAATTTCTTATTAATAAGATATTTCATACCCATTTATTTAATATAATCGATTATTGAATATATTCGATTTGATATTCTTCCCATATTTTCAATATGTATTCTTGTTTTTTCGTAGTATTATTAAGTAATATATTGATTTTTGTTTGTTAATAGAATTAATTTTTATTAAGTTTTGTATTTTAATTTCTTTTAAAATATAATTTTCTTAATAAATATTAGGATGTGAATGAAAAATTGTGAATTATAATTACTGTGAAATGATTCAGCCCTATTAGTAATAGAATATTGTTGAATATGTTTTTTTAATTCCCAATTATTCATTTATTTATAAATTCGCCTAAATGATCGATTAGTTTTTCGTCCAAATGCTCTACTCAGGTACATTTTGGATTATTCGCTCATATTAAAAAAATATTTAACTCTAAAAATGTAGTTCAATTTTTTTTTTTTTACGTCATTAAATTGTTTATCTTTTTTTACTTCAATGAATGGAATGATTAAATTATTGATTTATAAATATATCGTAATAATGAAGTTTGTTTTTACATAGTTATTTTATGCTACCTCTATTTTCATTTAAAAAAAGCCACAATTAAGTGATGTACGCACATGAAATAAGTCTTACACTTTGTTTTTTTTAATTATGTATTGTATGTAATTATGTAGTTACTCGTTACATGTACGCAGTACTATCATTCTAATCACAGATATTTCTTATCATATTGTAAATATATGTAGATGATTTCGCGATTGTTATACATTTAGATTTTTAGAACCCGGAATTCCCTATCAAGAAATTTCTAAAAATGCCATATCTAATACGCAAAATAGGTAGAAAAATCGCCCAAAATATCAAAGATAACAGATTGCCATTTTATATTTAAAGTACTTTCTACATTACAATTCATCCATGTAATATTTCTAATGTATACAATGTGAAAATTTTGTTAATTAATAATGAAAACTGTCTGCTACTGGCATGGAAACAAGTAAACCATTCAGGTTTAGAAAAATTTCAAGTTTATTCAGTGATATGATTTATGTTATCAAGGTATAGATAATTAATAATTAAAATACAAGAAGATCATATAGAAAAATGGGAAAACATAATACATAAGTATCTTACTATATTAACTTACTAATATAATAATATTCTGTGTTAGTAAGGGTAATCAAATTTTGTTTTTTCTGATAGAGTAATCTTTCTGATAGAATTTATCTGTAAAAGAAGTTTACAATTATTAATTTGTTTAAACTAACAGTTATATGTTGCAGATTAAATCCAAAACATTTTATTTTTGTTTTTTTAAGTGTGTTAACAAATCAATCTAGTATTTTACATATTTATTATTTATATTTTTTCAATTTACAGATAAATAATAATATAATTAAATATATGTTCTGTTAATGGGAAAATACTTATAACTGAATTGTCAATTAATAAAAACTTTTTCTGTAAATCAAAAATAATAATGATAATAATTCAAGTCATTGAATATTAAAAAGAAGAACTATTAAAATACTGAGAGAAATAAATTCCATAAATTTTAAATTTATAGAATATCAAAAAATAAAGAATATTTTTTTAAATTGTTTAACATTTATATTTATTTAAAAATTAATTACTCAGAACTGAGATTTATTAAAAAAAAAATGTAATTAGGCTATCATTTTTAATTATATCTGAGATGTATATTATACATTTTAATGAAATATATTTTATAGTACTAAAATATTTATTTAAATGATAAATAAATTGTGTTATTTGAATATTGGTATATTTTCTAGTGCTCAGCGGTAAATATTTAATAATATATATTGTTCATTTTATATATTTATGTTTATTTTTATATATAAGTATTTCTTACTGTAAAAACCAAACCTAGTATTTTTATTTTATTTATTTATTTTTTATTTTTTTTTTATCACAACACGATAATTATTGAAAACAGCACACATCAATCATCGTAAAAATTAAACAACCCTATTTGACTATTATAGAAAACCCATCAACCAATTTTTTGTTCGTTATTATTTCGTTGCTCTACACTGACGTACAGTAAACGTCCAATTAACAGACTTCGTGTAAAGTATCTATTGTAGCAGCCGTATTTTATGTCCAGCTTCGTCCACAGTATCCACGGAATCGATACAGAAGTACAAGCGAATTCGACGTTCCTACACACACCAATTAAAATTAAAATAACACCAAACGGAGAAAAATTTAAAAACACAATGATGATGTACCTACAATTGTCACAATCGAATTGTTTGGCGCGATTCGCTTTATACGTACCATAGCCATATGCCGTGTACACGCTCACATGTCGTCCCACCGTAAACAGTTATTGCACGCGCGTGGTCACACTTGATCACACATGGCATCTAATCACGAGAGTTGCACGATGAACGTCACACTCCATCACCGATTGATTCAATACGATTGCGAACCAAAAACATTTACATCAAAAACAGTTTCTTGTAAAGGGTTCATTACATACTTCTACAGCTGTTGCGATATAGCCACTTCAACTTGTATATTATTG